ACAATTGAAAAGTCAATCAAGAAAGAATATCGACAATTGAACACTCACATTTGAGAAATAATGTCCAGAGAAAGATTCCAAATGACCACCTAATCGTAAATAGATAATGTCATATTATTTAAAAAAAAGAGTTTTCTTACACATCAGATTTAATTGACGATTTATTCAATAATAAGCGTTCATCAGGAGTTGATGCACGTAGAAAAGCGCGAGCTAGTTCTGGTGTTAAATTATGTGTAGCTATTTCATTCTAAAGACAAAACAACACATCCTTCATTCTTTTACAAATCATCACATACATTTTTCTTTTCAAGTTGAACACTATCGTGTTCTGCTAGTTGTTCACGATAACTCTTATACGTAGTCCATGTTGCCAAACTAGATGAAAGATTTTACTTTTTCAAACTCGATCATCGAGATATTCTACTTACCCGAAATCACATATTTTCATGATAAATCTAGCACTAACTAAAACATTTCTTGCGGCAATATCACAATGTGCAATTTGTCTTCGATTGAGATAATCGACTCCAGAGGCAACTTGATAAGCAACTAATATTAGATCATCCTCAGTTAATATACACGTTTCATGTGCCTGAGTGAGTGTCATTCCAGGGTCGTTTTGTTTCGCTAATGTCTCATACAACGAGAGTTTACCATGTGGCGGAGTCGATGCTGGAAGAAGAAATCGCTTTAACATTGATTCGAGCGAACCATTCGAACACAATTCCATGAGATAGAACGAATCTTCATCACGAATCAATCCACCTGTGATTAAATATCTAAATTTTGTTTCGGGATAAGCAACTTTTAGTAATGAAACAATATTGACATGTTTGCCAGCCTTGTGCATCACTTTAATTTCATCGATTAACATTTCAGCAGCTTTTTTCTTTTGCAATTCTTTTTTCGATATCATTTCTTGACTCTCCTCGAGATCATCACTTTTCTTACGTTTATCACGACGACGTTCGGTATTACGTATAGTGTCAGGCAGCAATTTAGCAGCAACAAGATCGACTTCAGGTAAACGGACTTGATAGACAACGCCGAACTGTCCATGACCAAGTTCTTTAAAATCATCTTTCACTGCTGGTAAACTCTCACCATTGACGTAATTAAGCAGTGTACGAACTTGTTGTGTTGACGCGAAATTATCCGGTAATGGTATTCGAGTTAGTTGTGTCATTGGTGGCTGAGATTTATCTTCAGGTTCAGCAGGTTGTTCGGCATGAAAAATACTGTTTTGAACTTGCTTCTTCATTTTGTAATATTTGACAGCAATAATAATTAGTAGGATCAAGAGAAGTACTATTACACAACCGGATATTATTATGAAAATTGCTGTTAATCGACGAAATCTTGTATTTAGATAGGGGCCTAGATTAAAAAGATAACAGTATGTGGAAGAAGTGTAGCATTATTGTAACTTACCTTTAATTCGTAGGTCGAAGCTTCGACTTAACACTGGACCGCGACCATTGGTTAATTCGCAAGTGTAGTAACCAGTGTCAGATGCTTGAGCGCGAGTGATGTGAATGCTGCAAAAAAAAGATTCCTAAGGCCATGTCCTATAATAAATAAATACCTTACCTTCCGTTATTCTCGCGCAATTGCAATGTTGAATCGTCACTAATCAGTGGTAGTTTTCCTTTTAACCAAACTACTTTCGGTTGTGGTCGTCCATTATATGTACAATCGAAATCAACATTGATACCCGTTTTTCCATCTATTTTACTAACCGATGATAAATTGTTTCTAAACTGCAATGGTATAGGATCTGCAATCAAGAGAATTCCCTATAAAACTCGATAAGATTCGTTGTTTTCACTTTACCGTCAACGTCAATGATGTATGTATCGTTCATATTCGGAATAATATCAGTTCGTTTGGATAAAGCTATACACTGCAGATAACCATTCTTTCCCATTCTTCTCAACGGTGGTGTTCTAACTTCGATCGTTGTATCTCGAATAGATTCACTAGTGAGCAGCAAACAAACACAAAGAGTTAAAAAAGGAATTGTCCAAAAAAAAGCCAATCAAACCTGGTTGGTGTTACCCAGATGACGTCAACTTGTCTCGGCTGTTTAGTTTCTATTGAATGCCATTCCGAATCAAATCGGTTTCTTTCATACGTAGTCGACCCATCATTATAAATCATTCGTAGATCGTCATAGATTAAATCATGTCCCGTACATCGATATGTCAAAACGTCTCCGGTAACTAAACCAAACTCTGGTTTGCTAACCACAAACATACTCCGATTATCTGAATATCAATATGGAATTCGACTTTTTCACAATGACTCACGTGTCACTTACGTGCTAAGACTGTCAAAGCTTTGGCAAGTTGCACTAAACCCTTCTGTTCATAGCAACAAATGTATTGATGAGCAATCAATGGGTCGTGAATGGTTTGAGATTCAATACTAACAAATTGTGTTTGAAAATCATTAATACGAGTTGCTTTACTCGTCGGTAAACGTTGATTGGACGACGATTGACAAGTTTTATCAATAATATCTGATAAGCAATGTTCCATTGTGCATTCAGTATGTTGTATAAAAACATTCAATGATCGTTCAATATCAGCCCGATGGCGAATCGTACAAACGACTCGGTATGGTTCATTCTCGTAGATGCCATATGCATAAATATTCGATTTATCTTTGAAATTTTCATCTCGCCATGAAACGTATCGTGGAATTTCGATCGGTACAAACGCAAGCTGTCCAACAGGATTTCCAATCACTTGTGGTTTAATCAATTTAATTTGTTCTACAACAGAAGACTTGGCACTTATCTTTATATCCCGTTCGTCTTCGAAGGTTATGTTATAAATTGTTAACGTAAATTCGTAAAATTGATTCTCACGATCAGTTCTAAATACACGAATAATAAATTCCATGAATAAAAGAGAGAAATATCTAGCTTGGCTTTTTTCGTTCACGACTATATTCATGCAAAACATACACATGCAAATACCTTTGATCTGTTTGTGAATAGATGCGTGTAAGAAGAAGAAGAAGCACGAGTATTAGCTGTTTGTCAATGTTTTTAAAAAAAAATCCAATAATGACTACTTACGTCGTGACGATCTCAAAGCGTTTATCATTTGCTAACGATACTCCGTCACGTGTGAGTTCCAAACGAATTTTCGAACGTGGAATCGTGAATATAGATATATCATAACTACTATCTGAGCCATAAGATGCAGGAATAATTGTCTCGGAACCGGTCGAAGCCACTTCAAGATCGAGTAATGGTTCTAAATAGACGAAACACCTTTCTACCATATGCTCGTAGAGCGACAACAACTACATACTATTAACACATTTGATATCAACAGGACGTGAATAGATTCCTTGCTCGGAGACGCGTACACAATAGAATCGATAGACATTATTGGGTTTGAAACCACGTAGAGTAATCGAACTATTTCGACTATAAACCTGAGTTGCAGAATTGAATACAGCTTTTTCAGTTTCATTTGCAATGAGCTTAAGCTAGAAATATTCGACGGCTCATACGGTAAAAATTCAGACGAAAGAAATAGTTTACATCGTAGATATCGTCGAACCAAAAGATACTTGGTACTTTTTGAGCAAGTTTGATTCCATATTGTATTTCACAGCTCAATTTGACTGTTTCATCCGGCATAACAGTCAGACTCGGTTGATGCATTTCGATATGATCAGCTAAAGATAAATATTTATGCTTCGATTATGTGAAAGAAAACGAATCATACGATCATATGAATCAAATGGAATTCGAGATTTCTGACTTGGTGTATAATTACTCTTGCAGGTGAATTCATTCAATGAAATCGGGATTGTTGGATTTTCTAACGCAAAACCTATTTGCGGATCAAAGAAAACTTTCTAAAGAACAGAAAAATAAAATATCTCCCTTGAATTCTATTAGTACGAACAGAAGCCTGCAAATTTGATGGTGTATAATATACTGGAATACATAAATCTTGACCATTGCATATTGGAATATTGCATTTCAACTCATTCACTAGCCGCTCTCGATCAGTGCATTGACGCGTTTCACATTGATTTGGATTAATTGGCATCGGACACGACATTCGAGCATACCAGCTTGTTGTCTGACATGGTAAATTGAAAAAATGAATACCTGTCTGCTGTAAAACATTCGGATAAAGTCTTTTCGTAAATACAGACACTCCATCTATGAAGATGACTTATTCAATGGTTTTTCTTCAAGAAAAAAAAACACTCACCTTGTATAAATACATGAACGTTCGTTTCTTGTTTCTTATCGTCGATTATTTCGGAGCATGTATAACGTCCGACGAGATCTGACGTTAGTTGACTTCTTCTCAATTTCGCTGTAACTGTATTTGTTTGATAATCTGTATTCAATGATAAATGCTAATGAAAGATAAAAAGACAGTTTCTATTAGGTTCTCAGGTGGGTGTTTCATACATTAGTTGCAGTTGATGGTACAGTTAATGTGATCGAATTTCGACTTCCTTTACACTGAAGAAAATACTCCAATCGACCTTTCAATGCATCAGCATGGTATTGGATCTCCCGTGGTACAATATAATAACGGAATATCGGATCAATTGTGGCAATATCTGTACGTATTCGTTCAACAATATGTACACTTGTTGGATATTCAATAGTTACACCTTCACGACACTAGTCTAATACAAAATTTCAGCGAGAAATAGCTTACCTTCAATTTTGAAATAACCAAATAGAATCGTGAATAGTAGTACTCGTAACATGATTTCAATGAAGCCTACGGAATGTAAGAAAAAGAAACCACGGTGGTGAATGAGCACATTGAAAGGTATGAATCATAGGTTACATTTTACAAATCAGATGATAGATACATCATACCTGACATCTGGTGACCTGTTACATTATTCGCTTAGGTATTGTCTAAGGAGAAAGAATTCAACTTTGATAGATAGATAAATTCTTTGTGTTAACGCTTTTATCTTTATTTCAAAATATCAACGAGATGGTTTATCTTGTTCTCTTAGAACAATTAACACGACGAAAACTCCTAAGTTTTCTTATTTGTTTGATATTTTTTCAAATAATCTATTTTCTCGTTGGCGGCCTTATCGGTAAGAGTGGAAAGGTTAATTGATATATTTGTATACGCCAAAGTTTTCCTTTGGCTATATTTAGCAACGAAGCCGACCTACGCCACTAATCATGAATTTAGCTTATGTCAAGCAAGACTCAATAGGCCGTGGATCTACCATCAACCGGAGGGTAACTGTATTCAAGATCATCTGGAATTTGGAACGGTATGGTGATGAATGCATCAGGAAAAGACAGCATTTGAACTTTAACCTATTGTTCTAGGGCAAGTCTTGGAAAGATTTTGTATATGTTATGCAATTACCACGCATAACACGTTGGTTTCAAACTTTAACATCAATCGTGATACCAAAAGTTGACTATGACTCACGAATTAATCTGAGTAAGTTTCATGGTGTTTCTTTTTATTGACAAATAACTTCTCTCTTTCCGGCAGGTTCAAATGCAATCTTGACCTATCATGTTCGTCTTGCTTATAAAACCGACGAAATGTATGACGATCCAAATTCGGAATGGCAGCTATTAGTAGAATCAAGAGAATCTCGTCGAATTCAGTGTGAACCGGTATATTATCATAAAATTGGAAATAAAGTAAGGCAGCTCCATTCAATTCAAATCAAATAAGATGATTTCCTTTGTGTATAAAGAATGTTCCTGATGCGTATTCTTGCGAATCATTTGCTTTTCTCGAACTATCAACGTTGAAATATCCGTACTATTTGATCAATTTACAAATTGTTGATAAGAATGGTCTCTCGCAAAATATCGGCAAATTAAAAACATTCGAATTTGTCGTTCGTATTCGATTTGGTTCGATAGTTTCTTCGAATCATCTTTGAACTTGTAGGGCATCTATCAAACAGAAACTTTTACAAAGATGTGGTACATATTGAAAAGTATCACCTTTCCCATTGTTCTTGTCGCTCTACTTTGGTTTTATCGACAAATGAAACGGGCAGAGAAACCATACTCTAATCTGGATAAGTAAGGAATGGAACTTTTCTTTTGAAAGAAATACTTTTCGTTATGCTTTGTGTAGATTGTTGTTCTTACTCGGTTTAGCAACCTGTATACTCAATGGTATATGTTGTTTAATAATAATATTACCTTTCAACTGAAAGAAACTATTGACTTTAGCTCCCGTGGAATGGTTCACACTGATAGTACCTTTCGATGGTTTTCAAATTTATAGTGAAATTCGACAAGGGTTCTTTCTGACCGTTCTTTTGACGTTTTGGTTGTTTTTTGCTGCTGAACACGTTGTTGTAAGTTCGTACAGAAGTTCATAACTGATACAAGAGATATTTTCATTTCGTAGGACAAGAGCAAAGATGGAACTTTTTGGTCGTATGGAAAGTATATTGGCTTACTTTGGTTCGCTTCAAGTGTTCTACTCATATTCGCTCTATGTCAAAGGTAAAACATGATAATTTAACATCGATTCGATAGTATGATCTTGTTTTTCTGTAGAGGATTTCAACTTTGGAATCCATTTCATTCGATTTGGTCGACATCAGCTGGTCGAAATGCAAGTTTCACATTTCTAATACTTGCGGGTCTATCGGGTTTCATTTACATGATATGTTTAATTGTTCTTGTTGCACATGTCTTTTGGAATATTCGCAGTAAACAAGGTGAATTAGCAGCAATGCGTCGTATTCGACGTTTAATGTATCAGGTTTGATCAGGATAATATATGTTCTAAATTTTGAACTTGTTACTGTAGGGTGCGTTCTATCGATTTCAATTTTTGTTATTATCCACCATTCTATGTGCTGTATTAACCATTGTTTGGTACTGTTTGAGTCAGATATATGAAACTGAATGGGTTTGGGATGCAGATCAACGGCCAAAGATTCACTACACAGGTGCATTTATCACTGGTAAGAAAAAAAAACATTGAGTAAATTTATGCACATATTCAATTTTCTTTGCCAGGCATTTATGGAATGTTGAATCTCTATGTATTTGCTGTTTTGATCTTATTTTCACCGGTCATAACTAACGTTGACGATATGGATGAATTAAGTAAGTAGAAAACGATTGTGATTGGCAAAAGATGAGAATGAATTCAATTTCGATTAGCATTGACCGACGATGATGGTAATACAATTCATTTAACAAACAATCAAACATCAGCATATCAAATGATTACAAAAGCAGCGATTAGTTAAAATTCATTGTTATAATAATGTCAGATAATTACAATTCAATACGAATGTTTTTTCTTCTCTCTCGCAATCTTCTTTGTTATTCCACGAAATTTTTTTTTGTTTGTTAAAAAGAATCTTCATTGACATTTTGTTATTCGATGACATCCATATTTGTTCTCAATCTCTGTTTATTTCTTTGTAGAAGATGATGAACGATACGAACAACCCGACTATGGCCATTGATCAAGAACTTTATCCAGCCTTGATACAGTGTTTCTTTATCATTGGCGTCGGTTACGTAGCCGGACAATTGAATTTGCTGACGAATACTCAATCGATAGGTCTTTCACGTTATATTAGTAACTTCGCTTTACCCGCTGTGATATTTAAAAATCTTGTTAACGTACATTTCCAAAGTGTATCATGGGCCTTTCTTGGCTCGGTATTTATTGCTAAAGCAAGTGTTTTTCTAATCACAATCATTGTTACTTGTTTCGGTGAACGTCCAAGGAATTTCGCTAGCATGGGCTTATACGCAATAATGACATCTCAAAGCAATGATTTTGCATTGATTCTTCCGATAATCAATGCGGTTTATAAACAATCCCATCCAGATTATGAACGATACATCTATCTGATTGCACCGATATCTTTGGTCATACTCAACCCGATTGGTATCCTTCTAATCGAAATTCAAAAGCGTTTCAATCAAGAAAATCAACATCGACATATTCATGCGCGCGAACGCTTTCAGCTATTGAAAATCATTCTAAAAAATATTAGTCGAAATCCGATTGTCATATGTACCGTACTAGGTGTGATATTTAATCGAATATTTAACGAACATTTACCTGATCTTATTGATCATATATTAACACCAGTAGCGCAATCGTTTAGTTCGACTGCATTGTTCTATCTAGGTTTAACAATGGTTGGAAAATTAAGTCGTCTTCATGCACATCTAGTTATAACCGTGTTTATTTTGAGTATGATTAAACTGATTGTCTTTCCACTAGTATTACGTCAAGCTATTTTCTTTCTTCTGAAACCCGTCAATGGAAGTTTGAATAGTACAATCGATTATTCGAATTTCGGATTTCTATATGGAACAGCACCAACAGCTCCGTCTGTGATATTTTATGTACCGGAATCCTATGCAGCTTTACAAGCAATTGCTTCTACAGGTTTAGTTGTGTCAACGTTACTCGCAGGACCGATTATGTTAGTGTCAGCTAAGATGATTAATCTAAAGGCATTGGATGTTATTAAAGCTCAATCGTATGACTCCAGTCTAGTTAAAACTGCATATGATCTGAGTGTTTTATCGTTACTTTGTACAATTATTGTTTTGATTGGATTCGGTTTGCGACGTCGTTTATTAAAAATATCGTTTGTACATAAATATACATTCATTTTCGTTGGTCTTCAAATGATTCATGCGATGTGGACAATAGCTATTCAATGTGTACCGACGCCCATATCAACTACTGCGGCAACTATTGTTGAATTAGGTGAGTGAAATGATCTTCTTCAAAGTTGTTTCCATACTTATATACCTTCAATTTTCAGGTAGTATCACAGTCGCGCTGGTTACTCGTGCATGGGCAACCAGTGTTTCAATTGCTCTCATGATAACCATATGCTACTCGAAACAGCGTGCTCTTATATATATATATATAGCTTTTATTTTAAGTGTCGATATAACAGTATCGTCACTTATGGCTATAAGCGAACATCGCTCCTGTAGCCTAAAAAAAAAAACCTTGTTGATACAAGAAAAGGTGATGCTAATCTACGTAGAAAAAAAGCGGAGACAATGCTAGCTGAGGGAAAAGGAGAGAGTCAGAAAAAAGATACGTGTATATAGGGATCAATAGTCCACAATACACAGAGACACGAAATAGCTTGACCAGTTGCCGATTTGTTGTAGTTTCACGACTTGTAGCAGAGAACGTGATCGAACAGAGAGAGCTTGTTCTCGGTAATTAATTTACGGATGTTTTTACCGATTCTTCCTTTTCTAAAGATCTTTTTCCGTTTGTCAGATAATGTCGGGTTTGTTAAGTATTCTCTCATATATAATATTGAGAGCTTGTGTTGTAGAAAATCTTCGATAATATCTGGGTTGGTGCGCAAAATCGTTGCCGATAGTTTGTCCCAATGTTTATTTACCAAATTCGATATTGATTGATACGTCGGAAGATGTTCAATTTCAATATTTCTAGCGTCAAACCAAAGATGCATTGTTCTGTAGATTTTACGATTAAAACCTTCTAGCGACTTTTGTTTAGACGGTGAGAGAATTGGATAGACGTTGAGCAGTGATTGAAAGTGAGGTCTGATGAAAGCGTTGAATAGCCGAGATTTCGATTTTTCGTTAAGCATACGACTGTAAGCTAGTTTTTTGAAGATGTTCAGGTTCGACTGTAGCTTTGCCTTGATGTAATCAATATGCTCTGAAAAAGATAGTTTTGCGTCTAGGATCGTTCCAAGATATTTAAAATTTTTGGTGTGATGGATTGTTTGACCTTCGAATTCGATGCTAGGTGTTTTCGGAGCAACTTGACGGTGGAATAATGTCCAAAATGTTTTGCTAAAATTGATCGGTTGTTTCCATTTGTTAGCATAATCGATTAGATGTTTAAGAACTTGTTTGATTTGCTCCGTAAGGTCTAGAATCATGCTTGCTGACGCCAAATAGGGTGATGGTGCGATTACAATAGCTAAATCGTCGGCGAAAAGATGTTTGTAATGGATGGTTTTTAATGATTCGAGAATGTCGAAATGGTACACAATGAACAACAGCGGCCCGATGCAACTGCCTTGAGGGACGCCTTTTTCGAGTATGAATAGGTCGGATGTCGAATTTTTAATGTCGATATAAGCCTTTCTGTCTTTCATGTAGTGCCGTAACCAGGCGATGAAGTGCAGTGGACAATGCAAGTTGTTCAGCTTTAGCCAAAGTCCACCAAACCAGGTTTGGTTGAAAGCTGAACGGAAGTCGACGAAGAGTGCAGCTGCTGCCGTGTTCTTAGAAAGGCATTGGCCTATCTGATCTACAATAGAAACTAGGCGAACTGCCATATTATGGCCGGGACGAAAACCGCTTTGTTCTGCAGGTAGAATACCTTGATCGTGTATCCATTGTCTAAATTGGATCATAAAACATTTTTCGAAGATCTTTGAAAAGCACGACAGTAATGAGATGGGCCGAGTTTCATCGATTTTGATAGTTTTTGATTTGGCTTTCGACAGCAAGATCATTCGAGCAATGTGCCAATTATCAGGTGTTTTCAGTGTACGTGCGAAATTGTTCATGCACGAGTGGACTGTTGTCAGATGGTTTGGTGGTAAAAGTTTGAGTATCTTGTTTGAGACTCCGTCTAGACCACAGGAACTCTTGTTCTTTAATGTTTTAATGGCATGCCGAAGCTGATCGAAAGCGATTTCGATATGTGCTGGTGGCGAGTTGCGGAGCGCTTCTTCGATTTCCTTTTCCACCTTTTCCGCTTGAACTTCAATGTTTGTGTGCGAACTTGTGTGGTTGGTGAATTGTTCGCTGTAGAAATCCTTTGCGATTTTGCACATATCCGCTGGTAAGGTAGTTATGGTGCTGTTGTTGCTGTTGATAAAACCTTCGATTGATTCACTTTTGTTCTTGAAATGGTGTTTGGTCTTTTTCCAGAAAGATTTGACATTGCCTTCATTGAAGGAGTTGCAGTACTCCATCCAGCTGTTTCTCTTATGTTCGAACAGTTGTTTCTGGACGATCTTGGTCATACTCCGGAGTGCATTTACGAAGAACGGATGCCCCGTTCGACGGTAAAGTTTGAGTATTGATCGTTTGTGTTCGATAGCTTTCACTAATTCAGGTGGTAACGACGGTTTAAATGCTTGTTGATGCGAGACGAAAGTGACCCGACTGGCAGCTAATGATAGGAAACGCTCATAAAGAGTGAAATAATCCGCTGAGTGAGACATTGTCGAAGCAAGAGATTGCCAAAATGATCCCGTAAAGGTGAGGAAGATTTCGAGAAGTTTCCATCGGGTGCGCTTGATGGGGTGTAAGATGTGTTTGGTGCTTGCTTCGATGGATGAGTGCCAGATGACCGGATGGTGATCACTACCAATCGATGGAAGAACTGAGAAAGTGTTGTTGGCGAGAAATGTGGGTGCTATTACAAGATCGATTGTGGCGATCGAGCGTGTTGACGTGGGGACAAATTTGTTGATGACGTTCAGTGCACAATGTGATTTGTCACGTGTTAACCACTTGAACAATTTTAAACCTTTTGGATTTTCAACTGACTTTGACCAAGCGCGGTGCTTTGCGTTAAGATCACCAGTAAGAATGGTGCGTTTGTTCCTTGCTAAGATTTGATCAAAAATATCGAAAGGTATTTCTTCGAGTGGCGGCGAGTAACAAGTGACCAGTTGAAACCGACTTGAGCCCTCGCCTATCTCTAGAACAATTAAATTTTCGATATCGTCAAAAGATTTTACTCGTTGTGCGTTGATTGATTTGTGGATAGCGATAAGAACACCACCAAAATCGTTTGATCCTTTCATTGAGTAGACATTATAGTTGAAGAAGTGAGAAGAGAACCGTTTGATGGTTCTTTCGTCATGGTGTGTACCGTTTATAATGATGATGGATGTTGTGATCGAATCGATTAGATTGTATACATCAGCTAGATAACGGTTCAAGCTTGCAATGTTCAGTAGAAGAACAGACAGGTTTTGCTTGATTGTCATTGCGGCGATGTTTCTTTCTTTGTGTATGGTCCACCTGTCCAGGAGTTGGTCGAGTGTAGGTGTATCCGACCATTCTTTGAACAAGTCGTTCAATATCAATTTTTCGGCATTAGTAAAGTTGCTGGTATCAAGTGTGTATTGTTTCTTCTCATTCGGAAAGAAGATTTTAGCTGTTGCGTTCATTTATATGGGGATTTTGTCGCTCCTGTGGATGTTCCAGGCGATTAGAGCTATTGATTACTAATGATTGGAGGTCGTCTTGGTAAGTGGAGAAGAACTTCTCGAGTTTTTCTTTGTTCTTTGGATTGATAGTGCCTAGACAGAAGTTGCTAATTCTGGTTATGAAAGGGCAAATTTTATTCAAAAGAAAATGTTGCATAGCTGTAATGTTTTCTTTACAACAGTTGACTTCTTTAAACAGAGTTTCAATGTTCTTATTGGCGTTCGTTTGTTCGACGGCCAGTGTATCGAGTTTGTTCAACATAATGTCGAGCTTGCCCGAGATCGAAAGGAAGTCCGGTTGGGAAGCGTTAAACTGTTGACTTGTTGGTAGGTGGTTGGTGTTGGTTGTTGGTTGATTAAATAGTTTGGCTGCCGCAGGCGAGTGAGATGCGTTGGTCCAAGCTGTAGGTGGTGGAACAGATTTGACGGAACGTTTGGTTTTCGTCGATTCGGGTTCAGCTGGTTTGGCTATAAGTTTTCTTCTTGCTTCGATTTTCATTGGACAGCTGGGGTTCCCTGCCATATGTTCCTGCTTGCAATTTGCACATCGGATGCTGTTGCGGCAGTTGGGATCGAAAGGATGATTCTGACCACAACGGAAACAGACCGGGTTGTCCTTTTGAGGACAGTTCGATGCAACGTGGTCATCATATTGCTGACAGTTGAAACACCTAAGAACTTTGACAGGTGGAACATACGGTTGCACCTTGAATGACGTGTGTTCGTCGTCGAGGAGCAGCTTCTTGTTCTTTAAAATCTGTTGAGTATCTTCATTCGATGAGAAGTCGATGCGAACCTTCGGCATTGGTATACCATTTCGAACATATAACCGTTCTATTTTAACGATCGAAGGATATTGTTTCTTTAGGTCGATTTCGAAGTCAGAAATATCCCATTGAGTTGGTATACCGAGTGCAACAATCGAATATGAAGAAGGAACTTTTGTTGGTAATTCGATTGTGTAATCGGATTCGCACAGCGTCACCGGCCAGACGTTTCGATTCATAAGGTAATCAAATTGTTGACCGGAGTTGGCAAAAATGAGAAACGTTGATTTGTTTGTCGTAGAAACATATCGACCATAGCTAATCGATGTGCGACAATGTTTGTTAATATTTTTGATAATCGATAATTCCGATGGCTTCTTGTTGTTTAGAATATTGATGCGAAACGGAGGGAAGGTCGGGCGTCGACCAGCTTGTTTCATTTCTTTTGGTTTATTGGGAAGAGAATTTCCATTCATATTTACTGTTCCAATTTGATTTCCATTTGCAATCGACCGTGAGTCACCTCGGTTGAAATATTGGTTTGTTGAATTAGCCAATCTATGTTCACATTCGAATGAATCATCACCCAAAGACGCTTTCGATCGTTTAGAGGTGTTTTTCGCTAATTGTAATTGATTAGTTTGTGCTGTTGATGGATTAGTTTTTGAGACAGGAGTGGTCTCCTGCTCACTAATCGACATGACAGGAGAATCGGTCATCAGACCAGGCAGAATTCTCCTTTAATATGTAAGATTAATAAAAGCGAAAGAATAAGTGAATCACCCTCGAGAGATCAGTGCGACTAATCGCGATTTGGAGGAAAGAACGAATGAAACAGCGTGCTCTTCGATACTGGTGGTTGTACCATTTATATGGTTGGCTTGCACCATTAATGGCGACAATTGCTATCTTTCTGGCATCTACTGTTGCTGCTAAAGACGGCGATCCGAAAACGAGACTCCAGGAAATTACCACATTGCAATACAGTGCTGCAATAGTTCTACTTGCTCTGTGTATTATTGTTAGTTCAACGAATCTTATTCGAATTATACGTCGAATGTATCAGTTAAAACGAGACAATGAAGAACATCAGCGTACAAGTTCAATATCACGAGAAAACGAGCCATTAATTGAACATAACGATGATGGTGACAGTAATGTGCATTCGAATCATATATCAATTAACTCAACGTTATCAGGTAAGTGATTTCTAACTGTCAAATGTACTATTGCCAGTTTTTCTGTAGAAACATTAGCATTGGAAATAGATACGCAACTATTTCGTCATGCAATTCTTGTTGGTCTACTAAATATCAATGCTTTCGTCGTAAGCCGTTTGGTGAACCTACTCTAAACTTTACTCTTTCATTGTTTCTATATTAGTGCATATCAGTTTTACTCTGGTCGATTGCAGTCACCAATCATGATGGCATTTATTATGAATTACAATTTCTGGATACAGCCTTATTGCACGGTCAAGTAAGATACAGTTTGAGCACGCATCCTCGGTGTATATTTATATTCGCATTCATTAGGGTATCATAACATTTCTCGTTTTTGCTCTTGATGCTGATTTATTACTACCCATACGTCGAAAGTAAGATCTGCAAGCAAACTCGAAGATTTTCCTCTTTCTATTAATCACTTCTCTAGAATTATTAAATTATTGAATCGCTTTGGCTGGAAAATTACTTGTGATGCCGACGGTGCTCATCATAAACCAGTCCACAAGCAGCGAGCACTTGATTTTGAACGTCGAATTCGGCCAGATTTCATTCGACATTCCATATCAACACAAAGGTAAGAAATTAGCATTTGTCTTTGTACCTTGCAGATTTCCTATCGCTGTTTTTTCTTTTTGTTAGTATGAATAGTTCATTGGATACAATGGAAACGATATTTACCGGAAATGATTTTTGCCAATGGCTTGTTTCGAATGGTTATCTAGAGAATGATGTGAGAGCCCAAGACTACTGTCAAGAATTAGTGAGTATGAAACATATTGTTTGTATCAATCGCATTCCAAAAGAAGAAACTCCTGATTCCGCCAATAATTGGTATGCTTTCACCAAATAAAATGCGCCAAGACACGCTTTTTAAAAATTTTTGTTCTTCTTTTTGTAATTCGCATTGTGAATACATATCCCGGTGACATAATGTGTTCATTTTTTTCTAATTATTTTTCTAATTTTATTTCTATTTCTTGTATGCATTCATTTGTACTATTTTGTCAAGTTTTCTATCGATAAAAGTTATTTTCAAAAATGTTCTCCATCACGTGTACACGACATATTGTAATTTTAGTTTTGGACTGGATATCTCACGATAATTTGATTTTGTATAGTCGACGATTGATGAATGAATAAAATACAGTCAATATTTGTTATAAATTAACGAAGATTTATTATTCATCCAAAGAAATACTTAATCGGTATGCATGACATGTACTACATAATTAATTCGCCGTGACTAAATCGAAAGCCGAAATTCGATTACTCAATGTACATGATATTTTCATGCGATTTTCTTTCCAAATCTTGGGTGTAGGGGGGAAAACTACAGCTGTCATGTTAATAACACTGGATAAGGACAAACTAGGTGAAACTTGATGTTTCCACATCTGTTTGTCTTCAGGAATGTGAATTTTTGTCAGACAGATCTGAATGAAAACGTTCTTAAGCTTAATCATCATGTCTGTTCTTAAACAATGACACGTAATGCCTTCGTTTTATATTAATTTACTATGTTTAACTCGATGCACTGCTTGTCTATATCTAGGGTAAGGAACAGTATTATTCATGAGTTTTGTGTCAATAACAAACGAGTATAAGTAGAACATGTGGATGCGCTAATTGATGAAGGTACATGATCATCTGTGAAGATTAGTGAACAATGAATGAAGAGTTGATGTCGGGAACGTTTTAAACGAATGTGATATCTGTCTAATAAAATTCCCAAAGGTAAGAAGTTCCGTTGATAAGATAGTTAAGTGCGAAAACGGTGATGGGAATATCATTGTTTTCTTTTTTCGAACGACAAATTCAATCAGACAAGAAAAGAAACAATCATGCATTTAACTCGACATCGATGAGAGTCGGTACATCTGTTTTTTGTATCTAATAAATTATATTTCGCTAAGTCGTTTCTCTTCTTGAGACACCTGGCTTGTTGAAAAAAGTGCCGTGTGCTCGGCGAGAAATGAATTTACCTTTTATCTTGAACGAATCTTGTTATATTATTTCTAAAACAGATATTCCGAAAGTTTGCAATTATTTTTGAACAAAGAAAGACCGACAAGAGGTATTTATCGTATTTGATCAATAAACTGACACTATCATTTATTATACGGATAACGATCTCGATGCAATCGGTATGTTTGTTTGTATGAAGTGTTACGACTAAGAGCTGTCTTCTTCATTCATACTTTACTTTTATCGAGGCATAATATCAAACAAAAAAAGAATTCGATTATGAGCAGACAGAAACATCTTCTACTTCGAAGTAAAACTTGTGTTGATTTTCAATAGACTGCGTACTTGTCATTCTGATTCATTGGAGTTCGTCTAGATAAATATCATCATTATATGCTTCATTACTTGTTGTTGACATTAAGATTAAGATTTGGCAGTTACGTTCGATTTCGAAATGTAAGTGAGATAAGATTGGTTTCGATCGTTTCATTGCCTTTGAATTGAGGGTCGTGTTTGTTAGAGAGTATCAATTCTTTTCAAGAAATATTTACAAAAGACAAACATACCGAATGTAAGATGTGTTACTCTCGCGTTTCGGCAAGAGAATCGGCTATGAAAAAGAGTCGAGACGCACTTATTTTGTCAAAAATATCGACCAATAGACAAACAATCTGTTTCCACATTTGTTTCTTTCTAGTTCTCTTCGCGTTATCAGCTCTAGGTGAAAGAAGAGGACTAATGATAATGGTTCGTCGTTTTTCTTCTTCATCGTTAAATGGTGTCGATGAATATTTTATACATCATCTGTTTTAAGGATAAAAACGGAAGAAAATCACCGATGGATGTAGATATTTGTTTTCGTTAAGTCGTTTTCTTCGAACATCCGTCTACAGGGAGGAAGACGTGTGGAAATGCAAGCACCCAAGGTTCTATTGTATTTGTTTTTATTTGTTCTAATCTGTTCTGCTATGGAATTAATGAGGTCTTGTTTTTGTGTGAAGGCTTGTATAGAAAACGATCTGCCGGTTGAATCGAGATTATTCGAAAAAAACATGATCAAATGGCATTCTTTTTTTTTCTCTTGATTCATTGTTTAAATAGACACCTCTCATAAAACACAAACTGCGAGCATTGATGTTAGATTAGAGGTATGAATTATATTTTATTTATGAAAAGGAGAACAAAATGAGAAAAGGGCGGATATTTGTTGTAAGAACAAAGAAGCCATAAGTAAAACTTGATGTTGAAGTAGATCTGTAGATGACATGAGCAATTTTCTCGTTTTTTTTCTCTCAGAAGAAGAGATTTTGCGAGCCGAAACGTTTTCATTTATGGTTTTCTGGATTTTATTGCATTTTGTTTTTCGAAAGAGAAGAAAAGCATGACAGGAAATGAATCAACTCGTCTGATTTTGACATGAAAATCAGCAGTAGAGTAGAAATTGTATATTTCATCCTTGACAACTATTATCAAGCAACGATATGTTAGCAGAACTGTTTATCATAAACGTAGCAGCTGCAATCTTAGAAATTAAAATAAGAAGCTGCAACGTAGAAGAAAAAGAATCTGTTTTCATGCCTCATAACGTCGTTTTTAAAAAAGCTAAAAAGTCTAAACTCTCCTTATTCTTCCTCTTCAAGTCACTTGAAGTGCTTGATATATGTAGTTTATTTCTTTTCCTCTGAGACACATATTTCATATCTGTCTAATGACATCGATATATACATTAAGCTAATATGCAATTAACTAAAGGTTTAACTTTTTATCCTATTCCAAAGAACACGAATATTTTTTCTTCTCTCTCTCTCTCCCTCGCCGTCCCTTTCCCTATCCTTTGTCTCATTCTCTTTCTCTTCATTCTCGCTCGATATGCGCCACATACATCCATGTGTACGTTGTTGTGTTGTCATTACATTTTCTCTGTGTAACCATTGCACATTTTTAGTAGTAGTTGTCGTTTCTTTTCTTTTAGATAAACTCTTTCGGGTTTTTTTTTCTTTCTCTCGTTTTTTCCTTGTATGTAACTTCTTTTTTCTTTTCTCTTCTCTTAAATACCTTCTAAAGACATTCGACCATAATACTCAATGTCAAATTTTTTCTTCGTGTAGAATGGGCTCGAAATCATCAAAACGGAATTCGGTTAATGATCAACCATTAAGTCGAGAAACTATCGAAGAACTTTGTCAAGACACAGGTTTTACCGAAGAAGAATTGCTCACTTGGCACACGTAAGTTTCGCGTCTTTTCACTCACAGAGAAGTTCTTGTTGGATTTCAGAAACTTTTACAAAGATTGTCCCGATGGAAAATTAACATTGAAACATTTTGAACAAGAGTACGCCAGGATCATGGGCAAACCAACACAAAAGACGGCGAACTACGTTCGACATATGTTCAGTGTTTACGATCAGGATAAAAATCAATTTATTGATTTCAAGTATGCATCGGATGTTGCTTAAGAATAGGAAAAACAACAATCGGAGGGATTTTAATCTGTTGATACATGGTGCACATAACATTGACCTCGACATTTAGTAGGAAAAATAACGCAAAATTTTCCCCGATAGTTTTAACTCGACGAGCATAAGAGGAAATTTTCTACACATTGTTTAGCGAAGGCAAACAGGAAGAGCGTTTTGAAAAAGTAATAGACGCAATTATCAATGATGTTGTTGTTATTTTATTCGTAAAGTAAAACACAACAATCATTTCTATTTCGAATCAGTTAAACGAAAGATCTTTGATGTTTTGTTTTCGGAATGTCGAGTTAGAAAAACAAAATCGAATCAAGATAGTGAATATTTCCGAGTGAATCTAATTTGCTCAACTAAACAGATTATTAAAATTGCGTTCTTGCTCTTTTTTTTCTCGATTATGGTAAAAGCTATTCACTTTTCTTTCTTTTCTTTCATTAGAGAATTTGTAATGGCACTGTCCGCTGCATCAGTTGTTAATCGTTTACGTCTTGTCGAGACACTTTTTCACGTCTTCGATTTGGACAATGACGGTAAAATAACAAAGGATGAAATCGCTAAAATGTTACACACCCTTGTCGATGTGACAAATTCCAATCAGAAACGTCGTCAACGCCGACATCAAACAACAAACCAAACTGAACATGCCAAAACGATCGATATACAAAAACGCGTTGATGATGCATTTAACGAACTGAATGCAAATGACGATGATCACATAACAAAAGACGAATTTATTGAATGGTATATGAAATCAGGTTTATTATCTGAAGTTCAAACAAATGAACTCGATGTTCCCGATACGTCACGTATTCAACATTTAGGCAAAAAATCGCGAAAATTTATGAAACAGTCGTCAAATACCAAATCAACATCTGACCATGAAGAGAATGGTCAACGTTTACCCCAACTAGTTCGACACATGTCGAGAATGACCGAACGACGAGTACCGACCAAATATGATGATAATGATGACGACGACGACGTTGAGAATGACTTTCGTGCGCTGAATAGCAGTAACAATGTTACGACAGTCTCGGCGCGACATTATCATGATGAGAATGGTATTGACGGCAAAGTCAATCGGCCGACTATTCGTATAACAACGAGTTCAGATGATACTGACTCGCAACTTTCCAAAGAAAATGAGCGGTGGCAACATTTGTTTAATTCTGTTCTCGGACAAATACGTGCACAACGTACTGCCAATGCTGAATCGCCGACGACGAATAATTTAGCAACTTCATCTAGTTTTCAATCGTGGAAACGCGAAGGTGAAGAAAAACTCAAATCGGAATACATTCGTCAAAAATCGACAGACACTTCCATGTCTAATCGATCATTTCTATCCACAAAAAATGACTTTGAACTCAAGCCAAACCGTCAAATATATGAAAACCAACCACCAGCTTCTCCAGACATTGTTAGTGTTCGATTATAATCGATGTCTTCCGACAAAGTGCTCGCTTGCTCTTTTCACATTTCGTCTTCCAAAAATTGATCGATAAATCAATTGTCTTTGTGATAATCATGCGAAGTTTTTTTCCTTGAAACGTTTTCTGACTTCTTATCTTGATAATTCTATTTTCATATCTGCAATCACGTACTGTATATTTCATGTGAGTTCTTCTTTACTATTTTACCAAAAAAAAAACATCAGTTTGGAAACTGATTAGAAAGTCTTCAAAGTATGCTTTGTTTTGTTTCAAGTGACTAGCGCCTAGACGACGTGTCGTTCATTTGGAAAAATGCTGGTATGACGCAAGTAGCACTACTAATTTTGATTGCAAATGACAATTAACTCGATGGTGATCGTTTCCTTGTTTAACAAACAAGTTGTAACTAGGAAGAAAAACAAATCCGAATGGCTTCTGTGTACTGCAATAACAATCATTAATATGTGTGAGAAAAAAAAGAAAACAAAGGTTTCTCTCGTTCGTGGAATAATTAATCAAGTCAGATTTCCCTGGAGTCAGTCAAATTTTTCACAATGAGAATTGATTTCGACAATCTTGCCTCAAGCGGTACTTCTCGTCGAGTTAAATTGAATTATGTAACATTTACACTGAAGAAGTTCATGGAAAATCGACAATTTTTATATAAAAGCGAAAAACGAATATAGGAACAGGTTTACTCTTAAATTCTTGCAAAAAACTCTCCATTTTTGATGAAAAAGACAATGTCATCATTGGACATCAGATGTTCATTAGCACAGATATCATCGATCCATTGATGTAGCAACGCTTGAGGTTCGGGTAAAGCATTAGTTTGTTGCGTTCGCCGAGAATCATGGCCTTGCTCAGAATGTTGAAGTTGATGATAAGGTCGTCGTTGAGATATGGATGGTCTTGGCGCGTTCAATGACTGACTACGTGACGGTGGAGATGAGGAATGATGTTTCGGCAACTCATCAGGTTGATAGAAAGCTACTTGAAGTCTTTCAACGAACACATCAGTGTCGGGATTGTTGTGAACGATAATTTGTGAACGAAATTGTACAGGTTTGTATTGTTCAGTCATGGTGTACCGAATCGGTTGCAAGGATGAATTAAATGTGTGCAAAGGAGAAGAATCAGTAAGAAAATGTCGTTCTTCTGCTTTGCATTCGATTCGAAGTGATTGTGAAGGTGAAAGACGAGAAGAATACCATTGATTATGACTTTGATTACCTGTTCTTCTCTGCAAAGGAGATTGTTGATGATGTGTTGAAGTTCGTGAATCGAGTAAATCTCGTTCGTGGTACGTCATTTATTGATCTAGAAACGGAGAAGAGAACGAAGAACAAAACTTTTTTTTTCAAAACTTTATTTCGTTCTTTTGCAATAGGTTGTTATCTTTAATTGCGACTGTTACTTTTCAATTGACCAGCAAGACGAAATTTCAACGCGCACTCGTCTTCAACATTTGAACAAGATAAGTTGGTAGAAAATTTGCCTGATAAACATTACTTGCCTCTCAACTGGTTAAAATATCATTCCATTTAAATAATCACACTATAATACGTCTCTTTCGTCAATTTTTCCTTCGACAAGTTGAAAACTGAAGACAAATTGCGTTTTTTTCTTCCTTTCGTTTCTACTCAGATTTACTCCCATTTCTCAATTATCAGCATTCGACATTGTTGACAGACACACACACACACATACATGTCTTGCATCCGATGACAGTAGACATAAACCACTTGTATATTTGTATAACTTTCAAGCTTCAAAGATTATTAGGAAACTATGTTAATAACTCTCTTTTTCTTTTCGTATTACATCTCGAACGAAATCAAAAGACATCAAACATCAAATACAATAATGACTATGCAGAAACGTATGTACGTGGGACAAGGTGAAGGCTGCATTTGATGATGATCGGGCGCTCAAAATTTGTTTTCTTTACTTCGAATGATCCGTACTGGATCAAACCGATCGTTATTTCTTTTCATAGCTTTGTAAATATTGTGTGAAATTATTGCTTTCGAAGTATGAAAACAATATACTTATCGTAAAACAGGATCAATAAAGCAGTCGACCTTGGTTTCGATTTTATATACGAATAAATTTATTTTCTTCTAACAGCATCAGTCTTGCACGGTATCCACGAAGATTTGTTACTTAGAAAAGCAAACAATGATGAATTCAACTGAATCAACTCGAGGTGCGCATCTTATATGCCCAAAAGCAAAAGTAAATGTGCATTTTACTCATCTTCGAAAAGCACTGTATCAACTACAGAACTATAAAATTTTATTGAAATATTATTAGACAAAATACTTTATAAAGAAAAGAACAATGCATGACAGCAGTCTGTTGAAGCATGAAGTGCGTAGATGATCAATAACCACATCTGCGCAGACATATGAATTACGTTAAATTAAAGATAACTGATACGCTCTTCATTTTTCTCGTGAAAAACTTCACACATTCGAAGAACTTGCGTTGCTCTTAGCTTCGGACACGACTGAATCAGCTAAATTATCAGGATTGAATTTCTTTCTGCGATATTTACTGAGATTCTGCATCGCCTAAGACCGTACAAGGATTCTCAGAGCAGATATTGTCAGAAAACTTCACATGTTTAACCAGTTTTGTTGAAATCGACGGCGTAGATGGATTACTACAGTCCGAATCTGATCTCGGTTGGTTTTCGTTATTGTTTTCATGCTTCGATTGCGCTATTGAATTAGTATATCGAGGATTTTCCTGTTTTTTTGGAGAATTACAGCAGATATTGGATGCAGAATAGGTTCTGTCAGACAATTTCAATATTCCCTACAAGTAAACAGAATTAAATCTAATAAATAGAAGCTTCTAATAGATTTACTTTAGGTTTTAAAATAGTATTCGCTTGCAACTGAAATTCAAGAGGTAATGTTAATGATGATCGACGTCTCATTGTTAAATCTTCAGGGTTGGTGGGTATCGGAGTCGATGGATTGTCTTCTTCCGCGGCCATAGTATTGCAAACATCATTCAGTTTTACTGCGCCTTCAGGAGTTGATTTCGGAGAATATCGATTCTTACGAAATTTATCAAATAATTTAAGAGACTGATGGCGAAAACTTTCATCGAATTTCTTCATTGTTTCGAAATTTCTACCAGGATTCGTCATGTTAATATTGCTACTTGAAAGTGCGACGTAATAACTCCACTAGTAAGATATTGCAAAGGCTAGATAATAAAAAATAAAAATAACTACTGTTTATATACTCTTGTTGACAAAGAAGTGCACACTATCCTTATCAGCTAGTCAAGAAAGATTAGATCAAAGACCTCTGCTCTCACTCTCTTATGTTACCCGTACTTCAAAAATAAAAGAGACAATAATAACTACGAAGCAACTAGTAACGAATCTCGGGAAGTCATGCCTGATTAACTGCGTTTGAGCAAAACGACATAATGATAATTGCATAAAGTCAGTGCGTAAAAGAAAAATAGCGCTCTATTTTTGTTCTGAATTATCAACGAAATCAACTTATTCATAATGATTGATGAAAAGACACAAGATATGCATCGACAGCTCAAAGAACATACATCACTTCAATTTATCTCACCATCACTATTTTAGACAAGTACCTATGACCTTCTCCTTTCTACTCTCTCTCTCTCTCTCCAATTGAAATAACAGGAAAATAATCGTTAGTCATATGTCATTGCTATGATTGTGTCCCATACTCATCGAAATAACCGATCAATATACTAAATTTATTTACATCCGAAATAAAATAAAAGTGGTAGAAAAAAAGCAATATTAAAATGTCAATGTCTAATCGACTTCTAAAACAAAGATATAATCCGAAAGAAAATAGTAACTTCGTTCCATATCACCTTCACAGAGATATGGTAAACGACATAGTTTTTTCAAACGAAAACCCAACGGTTGGAAAACATTCATAACAAATTCATTGATTTGTTCTTCAACGAGACGACTCGTAATACGAATCGATTCGTCTGGATGATGATCGTTGTTATATTCAACATATGGTTTGAATGGTAAAACCAGCGCGATAATCGCACGACCATGATCAGAATTCAAATGTTCACGAATCTTTTTTAATAAGCTCAATGGTTTTTCACAACGATCCAATACATTTAAGCATGTTATCACATCGAATTTCAAGTCGCCCCAGTTGTCAATATCAAGCACGGTATAACCAAAATTGGATAGACGCCATTGCATGATTGAAGACATTTCCGTAGCGTAAACTTTATCGAAGACAGAAGCCATGCGTTCAGTTACACAACCATCACCAGCACCAATATCGAGAAGAGATGATAATGGCACTTGTTGACTATCAGTGATATCTAATAGTGATTTAAATTGCGCAGTGGAATAGACAAACATACGGCCACGACCGATTAGACCATTTGCTAAAAATATCCTCTCATATAGGTAGATCTATGTGAATCCTACAACGATTTGGAAAAGTACTTTGTTCGACTTTTTTTTCGACAAAAAGGTCAAAACACTCTAAAAAATGTTATTGGTCGAAAAAGGCGAACTGTTTTTTTATCGAAATCATGCCGTTCCCGGGTGTTTTCTTCCAACATTTTCATATATATTTCGTACAAGTATAGGAAACATACATATACATATTCGGAGAAAACGCCCTGGAACCGTATGATTTCAACAAAAAGTAGTTCATTCTTTCATCACCAATAACATTTTCTAGAGTACTTTGACCTTTCTGTCGAAAAAAAATCGAATAAAATGCTCTTGCAAACCGTGGTAGTCTATCTATCAATCTACCTGAAAAAATACTTCATCTTTTTCGGTCAATAAAATTTTCTAGACCGTGTAGACCTCTTTATGAAAAAGTCGAAAAAAAACCAAATCGTGGTAGGGCATTCACGGACCTATCGATATAACATTTACTAACACTAGTTTTTGGTAGACATACCTGATGTTCGAGCAATAAATACAGTTAACAGTGAACTTGCCAGACTATGAAGAATCTGTATTGGGATGTTGTCTGATTTCTCTTGACTCTGTTGGAGAAAAGCTTTCGTTTCTTCATCTTCATGAAATTCCACAAATAACTGTCGATATTCTTCTCGCAAGAGATCAATTCGTGCTAGTTGATACCAAGTCCGCCGATCGATGGTTTCTAAATTTCGATCATTTTCTATTTTCGATAGGACGGCTCTTGCCCAGTACGAACGAGCTGGTAAATACGATGATTGTTGACAATAAGGGCAACATTCATCTGTGGTTGTCATCTATAAACAAAGTAGGACAACCTCTTAAGTCATCAATCAAACATCATCCGATCAAATTAAACTTTTTTATGTATTTACTTCCAGCTTTAAAATGAAACAAAACGACAGAAAATAATTATGAATATGTTATATATATTTTACGGAAAAGAATCATTCAAGATAAAAGTTAATTTCCTTCACAAATAACAGTAATCACGCTGGCTTCCATCAGCACAGGATCTAAACATCTCATAGCTGTGCTACTAACAATTTCTTCTAGTAAATTCGTAATAAATCGATCGTCATTATTAACAAATGACCAAAGGTAATTATAAAGATAATTAATATCCACTTGAACTTGTTGCAAACCATAACGTGAAAACGTTTTCAAACGGATACATTCGAGATATGTTTTTAAAAGCAATTTAATTATACTTGATAAAATAGATGTCTTTTGAAATTGTAAATCAATAAATATATCTAGTTTTTCATTGAATACTTTATGAAAGTTAAGTTGAAGATTACTGGCTGAACCTCCGGAGCTACCTGGTCCGCCGCTTGTTGCACGATCAAGTGCTGAACTTCGGGGCATAATAATCGTTCGGCGACCTCCGTCTGAACTTCGGCCACCCCCACCACCACCGCCGACGCTTCCCGTCAAGTTCGAACGATGATGATATCGACCGTACGATGATGACATGGATCCTAATGCCGATGACGATTGGTGATCATTGTAAAGCATCATAACTTGCTTATCTATTTGTGTTAAATCTTCAACGATTCGTTTCATCACCGACCGAACATGTCGTGGTTCAATGGTATTGAGCCAATCGCGGGTTTCAATAGACTTGCGGAGCATTTGGGAGAGAGTATAACCTTGAGAACAGATGTATTGTTTAAGTAAATGTTTAGCAATGACATTGAATTGTTTTTGAATAGCCGTTAGTTTCGAGCGATCGAGTGATAAACTATTACCACCTTTTTGACTTTCATCTAAAAAGCACGAACTTTTTCAAAAACGTATAATGAAAGAGAATGGTGCATTACTTCGTTGATTATTTTCGATGATCAGATTGAATTTTTCTTCGAAAACTGTACATAAATATGGAATAGAACTTGAATCGAAATTTAATATTAATTTGCTCAATATCAACAAAAGAATAGGTGGTGATGATTGTTCATGACGAACTGTTGCTGAACAACTACTTGCTGTTGTGTATTCATGTTCAAAATAAGCTATTAAACGATTGAGTAGAATCAAAAAGAATCCATTCCAAACGTGATTGACTGCAAATTGTCTGGCAAATACATTCTTCTTGCCGGTGTTTCCAATCATTTCAGTGCCATTAAGAAAAGTGGATAGATTTTGGAATGTATATTTAATATCATTGGTTAGTTGTTTTAGCATTTTGTCAACAAAAGTTGTGAGATTAATTTGTGTTTGCTGTGTTTGCTGTTGCTGCTGTTGTTGTTTATCAAATGATGTTTGTTCGTTTGTTGCTGGCGAAATCATAGTTAGCGACTTTCTTAATTCGAGAATTTGCTCATGGAAATGTCGATCGAGATTCGCGTGATAGAATTTCAGTCGACATTCAATGGCAAATGTTAGAAAAGAATCAAGCATCAAGCGAATTTTCTCAATCGCATTTTGTGTGAACAAATATTTATAAATATCATTCGATGATCGTCGTAGAAATCGATCGATAGCTCGAACATATAGTTCGGTTTCGTCTTCTTGTCCGTAGAACTTCGATTCAAATAGATTGCGAATGAATTCAACATATGCAGAGTAGCATTCCAGAAGATACTCTTCGAGATAATATTTACAGCGTTCTTTGGTCTCGTCTTCGATACTCGGCGAGGATGAGATGGTTGAGGAATGACGAATGAATAGCATGTCGTAAGATTCGACAAATTCATGAAGGCTTTTTATGTAGGAATTGTAACTTGTATCGATAAATTCGAGAATATCCATCGGATGCATTTCTAGAACAAAATCGCACAGCAAATTATTGAAATCAATAACCAAATTTCTTACGTTGTGAAAGCGGATTAGTTGATCCTGCGTTCGATTGATTCTCTGCAATAATCAATTGTTGCTTCATGAATTCTAATAATTGTTCAAGCCGTGGTCGATTTTGATGGAGATATTGTTTAGCAAGGTAGTCAGATGATTCGCCCAATTGAAGTAATAATTTCACGGTATCACTAGAAGCTGTCTGTTGTTGATCGAATCGAGATTTTAATTCATCGCGAATAACATTCATTGTTTCTGTACACGATTGTTGAATGTGATTGAACGACGGAATATGTTCGTATTTTTGTAAAGCCTTCGATGCTTTCGTGTACGTGTTCACAGCTAATTCATACTGATTATCATCTGCATATTCTTTCAATTTTGTTGGCAATTGAAAAAGATATTGAAGTTTGTGTAGTAAAAGATGAATACTCGTCAGTTTGCGTATTTCGCCCCGACTTTTGTCTAACTTTCCGTGAATTTGATCGTTGTTCGTATTAACCGATGACATTGTGGACATTAAACGTTTCATTTCGTCTTCCATCGTTTTGAAATCTTTTTTCATTTGACGAATTGTATCTGTCGCTGATATAAACTTATTGTAATTCTCATAGACAAGCGTTTGCATTTCATTGTCCAATGTTTTGATTTGTTTTGTGAGTAATTGTTCCTTTTCAATTAGACTAGTTAACCGTGATTCACGTAACAATTTCGTCACATAAGTCTCTGGATCAAAACCAGGACTATCTATATTCGTCGGATCGTACGTTGATGGAAAATTGTTTGCTCTCGAGGAATTCATCAGAAGTACGGATGTATCAATTGATAAGTTTTATGTTTATGATGACTTGGTTGAATGCATAAAAAAGAATAGAAAAAAAGCAAGCCAAGCCAAGTAACACTGCTCCTGTTCGTCAATATAAAGTACCAAAGAAAAATCAATGTAAGATAAATGAATGTTGGTTAGCGCCACCTATCACATCCAAGCTGAACATCGGGAGTCATGTTTTATTCGCATCGCACTACGAAGTTTGATACTATTGTTCATTTTTCTGCTTGTCAATAGTAAATTAGAACATATCGAATGTTACTCGAAAACAATCCTTGTTGTTAAAGATGTTGTTTTCCAGTAAAAGGTCATTTTGTAAACGGTTTTTCATTCTAATTAAAAGTCGAATACGATCCAGCTGCATGATGGCGTAATCAGATTTGAAAATAACTACAAAAAAGATCTTTTACACTGAAAAGGGCAGTCTTCTGTTCGGCATTTAGTAGTTCGCACCCGGATTTTCTCTGAGTTAATAATAATAAGAATACTAATAACGAAACGGGAGCGAACTAAGGAGAAAACTTCAAATGTCAATCGATGGAACATACCTGGAGGAAATAGAAATATATAAACTAGCTCACTCACGAAGAATTCATAATTTTTTTATAGCTTTCCCATCGATACAGCAATGAAAGGTAACTTGATTTGTTTTCGACGTTCTAACGAGGCAAATCTATTGAAAATCGCCGATTTCCTTTTCATTTTCTCGTAGTTATGAACGAAAAACGCTTTATCTATAGATAATATCAATATATAGATTGAGACATTTTTGATTTCTCATTTTGTGTCACTGACTATGACCAAAAATACCAGATGAAAGATGAAATATCATTGATGAGAAGACACGCCCAAAAGATATCAGTTATATGTCTTGATGTTTGCGTTTATCATTAACCCATTGTATTACCATCAAAGAAAGACTTAGTATGATTGTCATTATTGTGCACACGTTCTTCGAAAGTCTTCCCAGCTTGATGGAATTCTATTAACAACACATCGGCAATGTTTGTCTGCTTATATTTTCGTCTATTGTCTAGTGACGTTTTAGGATTATTGATGCTATAAACAGTCATAAACCATAGAACTGTCTTGCGAACAAAACAGAAAAGCTGTGAAATGTTATTCTAGATAAAAACAATATATGCGTGCTCGAATGTGTCAATACATTTATTGTATTTAGCAAGTCGAACATGGCAGAGGAATATACGAGCGTTTGTTTGTTTGTTTTTCTAAGCAATAAACCTGCCAGTTCAATCTGTTGATATGTTTATTGGAAATGAACTGAGATGGGTTTTTGTTCCTATAGTTGTTCAACGTTGAGAGAAAATGACATTGATTCTCGAAAAAATTCTTTTATTAACCTTTAATCATCGGTTTCTCCGTCTTCCTCTGACATTTATTCTGATATGAATGATAATTATACATTGTTTTGTTTTTCTTTTATTCATATTCTAGTTAGTAAAAAAATGGCAATGAATGATACTAATCTCCTCCGTAAGTTCGTTACCAAAACGATATGTATCTATTGTTCGTTTTTTTCTCTAAATTAGTTGGTGCCACTCAATACAATCGTCTTCGACCACAATATCGTCACCAAAATTCCCTGAATGACTCAGTTATACAGATAATTGATAATACATATTCAGCAAATCGTCGAGCATCATCGGTACAATCATTTCAAAATTTATTTTCGACTTCAAGACCATCGACATCGACATCCTATCCGCGTCTACAACATGTCGTACGAAAGCAAATTTCACCGCCAGGAGTATCTGTTAATTCGGATCTGACAAATTTATTATTAAAACAGAACACTACTCCACTAGAAACAAGTCGGTATGGAATAGATAATATTTCATCGTTTTCAAAGATTCGTACGCAAGAAGATGATGAACAGGGACCTTTATCTCGTTTATCTAAAGGAGCAACAATATCTTTACCTGGTCAGGATGGACTTGAAGATAAAAAAGAACCAATAGAAGTTCGCGTTCGATGTATCTTTTCCCGAGTGGGAGAAATCGATACGTTGAACGAACGTTACAATGCTGAAATATTTTTTGAAGCTTCATGGTATGACGCAAGTAACAAAATCGGATCGAAATACGATCCACAAATGGGTCATTTCAATCCTCAATTAGTTGTTCTCAATCACATCGGAGATTCATTACGACATGA